TTTTTTCCTATGTTGGGATTCCATCATGTTCCTCAGCTCCTCTCTAGATTTATTAATCATGTCTTGCACTATGAGCAAAATCTCTGCTGTTATCTGAGAAATTATTTCTGATTTCATTTTTTCCAGATCCTCATTTGTTGCCAGTTCAGGGAGTCCAGGTAGTTGAGTATCATATTGTTCCATCTCGTTTCCCTTTGGGGTTGCTTGAGGTGATCTGGATGTCTGGTTTTGAGACTTGCTTATGTGTCTTCTCATTTCAAAGCGGGTGGGGTGTGGTGGTAGCTCCCGTGTGACTCACCTCCTTGGTGCTGGGGGCAGTAGTATGGCAGCCTGGAAGGGAAGGCTCCTCCTTGATGCTGGGGACGGCTCTGTTCCTTGGCCTAAGAAGGAATTTGACCACATTTAAATAGAGTTCTTTAAGATGTTTATATTCTTTAATATGATTTTGTCTCATAATTTTCTTAATGAAATAGATACATAACCACTCCCCCAAGACAGTAAAATTATTGAAAAATCTAAATGTGTTATAATCACATTATGGTTGAATAACTTCTTTTATGAAGAATAGGAGAAGTAGTAATTCAATCAAATACATGATATTTAATAATACAAGCCTATGTATTCGAATGAGCTACACATCCATTCCCAATTTTGAAAAGAAAAAATGTACACGTCTACCAATTTTAGAAGAAATTGTCTTATGTGAATATTTTGACTTGCTGATAGTCAAATCATCAGAAGTGTTCATTTTCCTCTTCCTTTATTGATCTTGTAATATGTAAACAAGCTTAGTTACTGGCTTTTCAGCCTACCAATTAGCATGTGAGTTACAGATGCCTGTCATGATCAGTGATCATTCCTGACATTTCTTTCAAAGGCCATTGGTGATTGGTCATCACACATCCCTATTGCTTGTTCACAGGAAGGGCAGTGTGTGGTTGTGTTTCCTACTGTCTGGTGATGTGTGACATTTTGCAGACAGGGACACTCCATGAAAGAGTAGCAGTGCCAGTACTTAATGGCTGCTTCCCTTTGAGGGACTAGATATGCACCCAAGCACCTTAGGTTGTCATGCCGTGGATAAGGGGAAGATGTCCCAAAGGAAGAGCTGCCAGCAAAATAGCCCATTAGAGGTATTCTCAGATGCTGCACTGCAGAAAAGCAAAAAGACCCTGATGTTGGAGGCTGATCCCAACCCTAGGAATGAGCCTGCCAGTTCTCCAGGCCCAGGAAATGTGCTTGTTTAGTGTGAAACCATTGGGATGAGTGGAAGAAAATTGTACAAAGATAAAAACAGCTCCATTCTCTGAGTTGGCATTATTTTAAAGTACAGAGTGCTAAATTAACATTTTTCTATTTTTCATTTCCATTACTATTACAACTGAGAGTAGGGAGTTTATAGTGTTTTGACAAGGTCATGGAAAAATCATAACTCATGCCTTTGAGTTATGCCTTTTTCCCCTGATGGATAGAACCTTTTTCAAAATGAAAGGAGCACTGGGTTTTAACTCATGGGTATTAACTTTGTATTTAGTGAAGGGTTTACAGATTTTCAAAAGCCACAGCTTTGTGTGTGTTCTGATGTCACTTCATTGCTCCAGTGCGACCGGTGCTTGCCTCTGTACAACGACAAGCCTTTCCGTGGAGGGGATCAAGCACATACTTTCACCTGCAAACCTTGTCAGTGCCACAACCACTCCACCAGCTGCCACTACGACGCCTCAGTGGACCCATTTCCCCTGGAGCTTGGCAGGGGGGGAGGAGGAGTGTGTGACGCCTGCCAGCACCACACTGCAGGTACGGCCAGCACCTCGGTGCACTTTAGCTGTTGTCCTCACTTACCCGTGTGCTTTTACACTGCTGCTTTTGGAAACCAAAGCCAGTGCATTGCGTCTTCCTAACTACAGATGTTTATGCAGTTCTTAGAAACAGAGCTCTAGTCCTGCACTGTATCTTTCCAGGAAAAGATTTCTTCTAAAGGGTTCCCACTGTCTGACCAAAGCACAGATAGATGCTTAGTGTGAGCGATCACATGTGTATGCATCTCCTTAACACCTGCTTCCTCACGTACGGGTGTTTCTATTTCATTCAGATTTGGCATGGAAACTGAAAATTTGGGAAAGCTCTCTAAAAACACCAGTTAAAGGCAGAAGCTGAACACTAGATAGTCTTGTTCTAAAACCACAGGGCATTTGTCCTCCTATTTAAAATTATTATTTTCTGAATGGCAGTATGTTAAGAGCAGAAACAAATAACATCTGAATTTGAAAATAAGATAGCTTGAATCTGATGAATCTGGCAGAGCTGCTCGAAAGTAAGAAGGCATTTGTTAGGAAATATCAGACCCTAGTTGGTTACCTGTGGAGAGATGAAGATGGGTAAGGAAGGAATGTTCCTGTCTCTGATTATTGGCTAGTGGGGAGGGCAGACTGCCCAAGGGACAATTCTGAAGTTGTTAGAGAAGGGCCAGGATGGCAACTACAATAGGCATTAGCCAACAGGGGGTTGAAATAACATTTCCAGAGAGCAAAACATGTGCAGAGGAGGGAGGAGAAAGAAAGGTGATGTCTTTAAAGAATTGATAGAAGGAAAAATGGCCTGGGGTGAGAAAAGAAGCCAGGATGGAAGGCAGGGGCAGACCAAGAGGGCCCTGTAACTAGTGATAAAGAGTTTGGCTTGCATGGCTGTAATCTTTGCATCCTGGGAGGATCCACAACTTTGTGCCCAACCTGGGTAAATTAATGAGACTCTGTCTCGAAGGAAGGAAGGAAGGAGGGAAAGAAGGAAGGAAGGAAGGAAGAGAGAGAAAGGGAGGGAGGGAGGGAGGGGAGAGAGCACAGCATAGTGTGAAAGTCCTAGGTTCAATCCCCAGTACTAGAGAAAAAAAATCTGACTTATGTCCTAAAGTCAATGAGATGCCACAGAAGGGTTTCATGTATTTAAGGGACATAATCAGTTTTGTATTTTCGGAAGATTCTTTTGGCTATAGTTTGGGGAATGGATTGGAGAAGGTCAAGAAGAGTTTGAAAAAAATGAGTTTGTTGCAATCATCCAGGAGATAAATAACATTGAGGTACTTTTAAATAAGACCAGTTATCCCAGAGATATTTAGGATGGAAGCATGAGATCTGTTGTCAACATGGGATAGGGAAGGAGAGGAAGATGGGTTAAGACTGAATCTGAGAACTTCAGCTTGAGCAGTGGGGTCCATGGTGGCACTGGACATTGGTTAAGACACAGAAACGTCAAGTTGCAGAAGACGTTTGTGCCGTTTCAGACATATCGACGGTGTATTTCCAAGAGACAGGACAGAGCTCCCTGGAGCACTTGGAGACTGTTCTAAGATTCTACCTCACTAGGAAGGTCTTTCACAGAGCCTCAGGAAAGGTCTGCACCCCTGTGACCTTGAGTGGCACCTTGTGATTATCACAGGTAGTAGGTGTGTATTTATTCCTACTGCAATATGATTAAGGTCCATCTTACCCTATAGGCTGAAGAAAGCACTGTGAGAACAAATGTCATGGATATCATGCCTTTTCTTGCTATTATACTCCTCAGCAGCTAGCATAATGCTTGGGACTTAGTAATTACTAAATATTAAATTGAATGATAGAGATTTTAGATTGGAGATACAGATTTAAGAGTTTTCAGCACATATAAATGTAAATATTTTATAAATATAACTCCATGTAAATTTTAATTAACACATAGCCAATACCTATCAGAATATTAATTTTCATTTGATTGTTTCTGTAGTCTTTTTATCCCGATAAGTAACACTGTTTTATTTCCATTCCCATAATTTCCCTTCCAAAAAACTCATTGGCTTTAACATACCATTTGCATTAACATAATTTTTATTCAATTTTAGCAAGATTTTGTCCTCGTTAAAATAATTTTTGAAGGTTCTATAAATGTTTATTATTTTAGTTTAATAGTACAGGTGTGAAGTATATAATATTTAAATTCCTTGGTTGAAGTTGGCACCATATTAGGTCAGTTTGAGCAGAGACATAATGTTTAAAGGAACAGTTGACAGCTTTGAGCTTTATTTCAGCATATCAGTACATGCTACTCACATTTGCTTTACATCCTCCTGTTGTGTAGAGTTTTCTCTGATACGAGATAACAAGGGGAATTGCCAATTATTAAATTGTACCAATGGGAGATCCCTGACATATCTAATAAGTCAGGCTATTCTAACATTTAATATGAAAATTATTTGGTATATCTAAAGTAATTTCTGTTTTGAAATTTGAAATAAAAAAATAATGATCCCTAACAGAAGCATTTGCTTTTCATCATATTAAATACATAACAATCTATTGTATTGAGAGCATCCTCCAACTTTACAAGATTTAGCTTTGCGGGGCTGGGGATGTAGCTCAGTGGCGCCATGCCTGCCTCACAAGCACAAGTTTTGAGTTTGATCCCGGTACCAAAAAAACCCTAAACCAAACCAAAACAAAACAACCCCACCAAAAACAAGATCTAGTTTGGGAATATTTCTAATACTACCAACCAAGTTGCCTCAAACTTTGTAAGCATCATCTACAGTACATGTAGAACTCTCTCATATTTGATTTATGGGAAAGAGTTGGGCCTAGAAATCAAGTTTTAAATTAAGATACATTTAAAGAATGGATGGGCCCCTGCGAAGCATAGCCTTTTAGTGGAGTGGTATTATGTAGCAGATGGGAGTTTAATGAAGTAAAGCACAGTTTGTAACAGGTTCATTGTTTCATACGCTCTGGATCACTAAATTGGCAGGTAGAGATGAAAGGTGCATTAAAATGGACGTCCCGAAAATTATGGAATTCCCTCAAAGGAATATAGCCTTTAATTTTGAATTATGCCGGTAATTTTAATGAATTGGAAGGCATAACGCACGACCTTTCCCCGACACAGGAAGGAACTGTGAGCTGTGCAAGGATTACTTCTTCCGAGAAGTTGGCGCCGAGCCCTCAGCCGCGGATGTTTGCAAACCCTGCGACTGTGAGCCCGCGGGCACCAAGAGCGGGAGTCTCTCCTGTGACCAGGTCGGTTCTCATTGAAGGTAAAGAATTCCTCTCCCTGCCCGAAAGGACCTTGGGAGGTGCTCTCCGCGCGCACTTGGAGGCCACTCTTGCCAGGAGGTCCCCTGTGCGTTTGCTCTAAGAGGCGGCCTCCTCCAGGGAATCCGTCCCGTCCGGGTCCAGTGTGTTACACTCTGCAATATGACACCGCTGGGGCTGCCCTTGACCTGAGGGAGAGCGGTTCTAGTGTTTGTTTTTGCAAGTGTCAAAAAAAACCCCCAAAACCAAACATCAGAGAACGGGGGTTCCGAGTAAACTGTGAAGTCGATCCAGTCTGAGTCTTAGGGTTATTGGTGAAGTTAATAGTAATAAATAAGGACAGTTTTACTGCAAGCCCATAAAGGCTGGGTAGCAAAAGTCACTTCTGTGAAGATCCAAATGCAAGTCATGAAAGCCATGATTTAAAATTTCTTCTTCCAGCTTGTCTCTCTGCTCAAAAATACAATGAAATTTTATAATTTTTAAATATTTTGATTCCCTCCACCATAAATATTAATTTCTGACCCGGAGGAACACAGATTCTTGCTAACCTTGGTCCATATATCTTCCTCTCTTCCTCCCTTCCTCCACCTCTCTTTCCCTCCCCTTCCTTCTCCAGATTTGAAGATATATGTAAAAAACATTTATTTAAAGATATTTATTAGTGCTTATTAATTTTATAAGATATTGGGCTTGAATGCAATGTTTCATATGTGCCCACAACATGTTTCGGTCATACCCATCCCCATTACCCTCCCTTCCACTCTATCCCCATCCCAGCTTATGCCCTCCTCCTTGCTTAATAATATTGTCCGAGCACCCTTCTACTTTCATGCTAGTTTGTATTACAAATCATAGAGAAAGCCTGAGATGCTTTATAAATCTGGCCTATTTTGTTTAACATCATGATCTCCAATTCTATCCATTTTCCTTCAAATTATATAATTTTGCTCTTTGTGGCTGAATAATACTCCATTGTGTGCATATATCCCATTTTCCTTATCCATTCATCTATTATTGGGCACCTAAGCTGGTTCCAAATCTTGGCCGTTGTGAATTGTGCTGCAGTGAACATGAGTGTTCAGGTATCCCTCCAGCGTGGTGACGTGACTTCCTTCAGGTATGTAGGAGTGCTGTAACTGGGTCATATGGACTCTATTTGTAGTTTCTTGAAAAACCATCATGCTGGTTCCCATAGTGGCCATCCTAATTTACATTCCCACCAGCAGTGTCGAGGGCCATCTTCCCCCAGCCGTTAATGGTTTTTGTAATCTTTATGATAGTCATTTTGACTAGGATGACATGGAGTCTCAGTGTAGTTTTAACTTTCATTTCCCCAATGGCCAGAGATGCTGAACACTTTTTCATATACTTACTGGCCACTAGTACTTCTTTTGAGAAGTATTTGTTGTCATTTGCCCTTTTATTGATTGGAGTATTTGGTGTTTGATGTTTTTTATATATTCTAATATTAATCCTATCATAAAAGTAGCTGACAAAGATTTTTTTCCCATTCTGCCTGCTGTCTCTTCACATTGCTGATTATTTGCTAGGCAGAAGCTCTTTAATTTGGTGTAGTCTCGTTTGTTGATCAGAAGCTCCATTTTTTAAAATAGACTATCATCAGTGGAAGTTCTTATCTGTTCTGAGAGAAAATTGTGAAAATGGATAAAAGAAAAATTTATGTCAAAGCACCAAATCAGTGAATGTATCAATTTTAAACAATTACATGTTCTGTTATAAATAATTAAAAGTACAGTGGCTGGGAGCATAAATCACAATTCAGTCACAGAACATTTCTTAGAAGGTCCAGTATCAATAAGCTCAAGTAAAATGTTTCTCATATAACTTTCAACATGCATTAAAATTTTTGAAGGATAAAAGAATAATTAACAGACAATTTCTACTATTTTCACTGTATGCTATTGAGGGCCTATTTTCTCAGAAAGTCTTAGTAAGTTTTCTACATATTGATTAGTGAAATCTGACCACATCTTCATAGGTCTGATGTTTACACATCTCTTGTGAACTTTCAGCATGACCAGCCTTTGCGTGTCATTGAAGTCTCAACTCAAATATTGATAAATGTTTTGCTATAGCTTCACTGAGTCCTCATCACACAACATGCTCCAGTCAATGCCTTTACCTCGCCCCCTTGTCATTTTCATTATGGTCTTTATGAAATTAATCTGCTTGTTTAGTTCTTTTTCTTCTCTCTGTCCAACATACACAGAAGAGTTGCAGTCATATAATAGCTCCCAATAAATATTTGTTTAAAAATGTTGAATAAAGGAAGAGAGATGTTATCTCAGGACTGACCTCCGAGATTGCTTTTGAAGTTATTTTTGTTGAGACATAATATTTGTGCATCTTTATGGGTACAGCATAGTAATTTGATATGTGTATACAGTGTGTTATAATCAAACCAGAGTAAGAAGCATAGTATTAATTATGCTTTTGGAATTCCATGCTCTTAGAGTCATATTATAATATATGATAAACTGTTCTACTCAGTAGTTACCCTACTGTTCTTTAGAAAAATCAAAACTAACTTCCTCTCTGTGTTCTGATCCCCTGTGGGACTTCCAACCCCCTCTACCCTTGCCCCTCCCAGTCTTTAGTGACCACTGTTGTAGGTCATTCTTCTACAAGACAGACCTTTTAGCTTCCACAGATAAGAAGGAGCATGTGGTGTCTGCCTTTCTGTGTCTGGCTTATCTCACTTAACATAATAACCTTCAGTCCCTTCCATGGTGGTGCAGATGACAGGTTTCCATTCTTCTTTATGAGTAATGCTCCATTGTGCATATATGACACATTTTCTGTATTTGACCACTCATGGGCATCTTGTTGATTCCATATTTTAGCTATTGTGTTGGGTTTTTTTTCAGTACTGAGGATAGAAGTCTGTACCTGGCACATATTAGGCAATTACTTTACCACTGAGGTACAACCTCAGACCTCCATATTTTGGCTATTGTGAATAGTGCTACAATAAACATAGATGTACATGTACATCTTTAGTATACTGGTTTTATTTCTTTTAGATGTATACCCAGAAGTGGGATAGCTGGAACATACGGTAATTCTATTTTTAGTTTTTTTAAGAGCCTCTCTTCTGTTTTCCATAATGACTGCACTAATTTACATTCCCATCAACAGTTTATAAGAGTTCCTCCTTCTCTAGATTCTTACCGCAATTTGTTATATTCTTTATAATAGGCATTCTAGTTTGGGTAAAATAGGATCTTATTACAGTTTTGATTTGCATTTCTTTGATAGTATAATAGTGAACATTTTTTCATGTAAGTGTTGACCATTTATGTGTCTTCTTTTGAGAAATGTCTAGTTATTATTCCATTTTAAACTAGGTTATATTTTTTGATGCTCAGCTTGTGGAGTTTCTCATATATTCTGGATATTAATCCTTTGCTGGATGAATAGTTTGCAAATATTTTATCTTGTTTTAAAGGTTATCTATTAATTCTGTTATTTCCTTTGTTGCGCAGAAGTTTCTTAGGTTGATATAATGCCATTTGTCTATTTTTAGGGATTTTTTTGCCTATGTCTTTGGGTTCCTATCTAAAAAGTTATTGCCTGTACCCATGTATTATTTACCTTGCCTTTTTCTCTGGCAGTTTCAGAATTGTAGGAGCTACATTTAGGTGATTGATCCATGCCAAGTTGCTTTTTGTGTCCAGTGAGAGGAACCACTGCATCTATAGATCTAATTTTGACACTATTATTTGTTGAAAGCCTGCCTTTACTGTATGTTCATTGTGCTTCTGTTGAAAATCAGTTGAGTGTATGACTGTGGATTAATTGCTGGGCTCTCTATTGTGTTCCATTCATCTATTTTTCTCTTTATACGCTTCTCTCATGTTGGTTACTATAGTTTTACAGTGTTTTGAAGTCAGTTGTGATGGCTCCAACTTTATTGATTTTGCCCAGAATTGCTGTGGCTACTATGGATATTTTGTAGCTCCACATCAATTTTACGATTTTTAAAACTGTCTGTGAAGAAAATTATTGGCATTTTGGTAGGAATTCCACTGAATCTTTGAAATGCTTTTGCCAATAAGGTCATTTTAACAATATTAATTCTTCCAGTCCATGAACTTGGGATATTGACACTTTGTGTGTGTGCATACTCTATAATTTCTTTTTTGTTATTTTTTGTGTTTTTTTGGTACTGAAGATTGAACTTGGGTCCTTATGCTTGCAAGGCAGGTGGAAGAACCACTGAGCCTAATCCTCAGCCCTATAATTTCTTTCATTAGTGTTTTATAATTTTCACTGAAAGAGATCTCTCACTTTTTTGGATAACTTTATTTCTGAATATTTTGTTTTATACCTATTATGAATTGGATTGCTTTTTAAGTTTGTTTTGCAATTTCATTATTGGAGTACAGAAATACTATTTTTTTTGTATATTGATTTAGTTTCCTGAAACTTTACTGAGTTTCTTTATCAGTTCTAATAGTTTTTTGATGGAGTAATTTAGTGGCAGTTTTTCTTTCTGTACTTTGAATGTATCATCCCATTTTCTTCTGGCCTGTAAGGTTGCTGCTGAGAAATCTGCTGTTAGCCTCATGAGAATTCCTTTATAGATGAGCTGTTGATTTTCTTGCACTGTTTTTGGAATTTTCTCTTTGTCTTGTACAACTAACATTTTGATTCTAATGTCTTGGAAAAGGCCTATTTTGGTTGAATCAAGTTTGGGTTCTTTGAGTTCCTTGCACATGAATATTCACATCTCAGTCAAAATTGGGAAGCCACAGCTATTTTTCATGAAACAGGTTTCAATTATTTTTCACCTTTTCATCATCTTCTAAATTTGCTATCCTGTAAATACTTCTTTGCTTGATAGTGTCACATAGGGTTCATAGGCTATCTTCATTCTGTTTTTCCTTTTTTATTTTCATCTGACTGAGTTAATTCTGAAAATCTCTTCTCAAGTTCAGAAATTCATTCATCTGCTTGTT